TTGCTTGAGGAGACACCAAAAAGCTTCACAGCAAGTGTCTGTCTGCGACCGCGATCTCGCCTAGGGGAAGCCACGACCGCGTGTCAGAGCAGGGAAGATGGCCGCGGGTCGTGTTCGTCACCCGATGCGGAGTTCGCGAATGGAAGCAAAATTTTGCAAATGCTGCTGTTTGCGAACCGAATTGTTAGTGAACAGAAGCATTCGTGAACCGAGGTATTACTGTACTTTCTGTTTTTAATTCATATATCATTTATATCTTCTAGCTTTTCATATTTCTAAAAAATGTTTACCCTGGTGTATACTCTACGCTTTGTAAATGATGGTACCCCAGCCTCCTTAGGCTGGTCTGTGACCGTAATGAAGATTTGATTTAATGGGATGGGCTTGGATTGGATTGGATTGGAAGCTTGTGAGATTGGGCTGAGAGAGTGGCTGGCCCAAAGTCACCCCAGGAGTTCTATAGCTGAGTGAGGATTTGAATCTGGTTCCCTCCAGTTCAAGCCCAGCTCCTTCAACAACATCCACACGGGCAGCGCTCATTGAAACAGAGGGCATGGCTATCGTTCACCTGTCATTCACCATATTCCTAGGTGACCTTTTCTTTGCCTTTCACCTTTGCAGTTGACAATCGCTCCAAAAAAAGAGCCACTGGGATAAGGAAGTGGGATTTCTCTGCTTTCAGGGGTTATGAAACCGAAGCAAAGATCTCCAAGCAGCTACTCTTGGCCGCCCATCGCTTCCTCTCCACAGGTAGGAGTTCCCGTGAATCAGCTGGGTCCACTGGCAACAGCAACTCATCGCAGGGCTGGCCCTGCCATGCAGAAGTGATCTGTTTCAGGCGGCAGCCCAACTGGAAGAGAGGCAATGCTTGGCTCTGTATCTGAGTTGGCAGGAAGACTTTTATTTCAGCAGCTTGACAGGGGTGGGAGGAGGATGTGTGCTCTGTTTCTTTGGTCCTGGGAAAAGATGTCTTGGGGACATTCTCATGCCTGTGCCTTCTCCCCATCCTGCAGAGATCTTGCAATTTTGCCCCACCATCATCTCTGAAAAATACCTGCTGCGTCTGCTGAAGCACCGTGATGTCATTTGTGAACTGAAATTTGATGACAGCTTCAAGGACTCCCCCCACCATTACTTGTACCAACGGAATAAGACAGCGGATTACTTCATCCTCATCTTGCAGGTACTTTGCAGTCTCTATTCTTCATCCTTCAGGCCCATGAATGGTTCTTCTCCACAAATACAGCTGGGTGGCACAGGAGTTCCACCTGCATGGCTCAGGTAAGGTGTTGTGAGATTCCAGGTGCGGCACATGTATGCCCAGTTCAGTTCTTCTCCATCAGGACAGAGTTTTCCAACTGTAACCTTCTCTCTGTTCCAGGGGAAGGTGGAGGTAGAAGCATGCAAAGAAAACATGAAGTTTGAGAATGGGCCCTTTTCCTACTATGGGGTCATGGCTCTAGGGACATCCTGCCTCACAGGTAATTCGCCACTCCTCTCTCTCCACTCATGCACCTCCTTTGCCTAATGCTATGTTGAGATCGGCTCTGCCATTTCGCAAATGTTTTCCTTCTATTTTCTACCTGATTCTCAAGGGGCTTCAGAACTTTCCTTTCCCAATTTCTCTGAGTGGGTTTTTAGCTTTCGTTCTGGTTGGAGATGGCAGAAGATGGCTGTTTTTGTGTTCTGGCATCTCTTGGAAGCCCCCCCATATGCCCTGCTGTGTCCAAGTGCTGGTCAAAGCTGGCAGCATGACCACTTCGAGGGGACAGTGTTCCTTTGGGAAGAAGCTTTGCATGATGGATTTGCTCAAGCCTTTACCAAAGTCCCAATTTAAAAAAAAACCCTTTTTATCCTATTCTATATACCCAGAGAGATGAGTCGATGATCAAAGAGGATGTTCCCCCCACCCACTTTTTAGCCATCTTGCAACTAAGATATCTGTGTAAAAACAGGGTACTCTACCTCTGAGAAAATCGCAGAAATTCTTTTCTCCTCTAAAAGAATTTCTAAAGCAAATTCTGTCCCAACAAACAGAATGATAACTAGGAGGAGGAGGAGGAGGCAGCAGCTGGGGGCTCTCTGGGATTACAGCAACCCCAAGTTCCCAGGAAGATGGCAAAAAAGGGGGGGGGGAGTTGTGATTACTTTGGATTTTTGCAAGCGAAGTGCCCAGTAGGGACACCCCTCCCATGTTCCTCCTGATTTTCTGCCTCCTTCTCCCACCTGCAGTTTTTTTTCTTTCTTTGTGCTATCTTTTACTGAAGAATCAAAAGAAGTCTGAAGATAATCCATAATCTATTTGATTGCCAGCGCCATAGAAATCCTGGGAATGAATGGGGAGAGAGAAAGAGAGAGAGTTTCTGTTTGTCCCCCAGCTACTGCAGGTCCTGGAAAAGCTCCACCATTCCACAGAAAAGGGAAATAAAATAAACTACTTACATATACTCCCATTCCATGTCCTTTGTTTGACTCTGTACAGAAAATCCAAGTGGTTCCTGTGAAGGGGGAGCTACAAAGTCATCCAGACTCTTTTCTCCTTGAAAGCCCTGCTAATATGGCTGAAGCCCTGGTGCTGAGATGTTGGTGAGGCAGGAGTTTCTGCAAATGGAGAAAGGGACTGCCCATAAATTGCACCCAGTGCCCTAGCCATGGTTTTACTATGGTTTCCAACACACGGCAGCTGAGCCAGAAAGAAACAGGCTCAGCTTTTGGGGATACAGGACCTTGCTTTCAAACTGGCTGAGAGTTCTCCTGCAGAAATGTTCTCTCTCTCTTCCCTCCAGCTCACTCTCTTTTTCTATTCTTTCTCTTTCCCCATCCTACTTTACTAAGCAACCATGGTAGTACATGTGTTTTCTCTCTTTCTAAGGTCAAGGCAGGGCAAACCTAATGTTTCCGGGGTGGGGAGGGGAGGAAGGAGGTGGCAGAAACCTCGGCTGAATTTGTATCCTTTTTGAAAATCTCTATAGCATGGAATTTGAAGCTTCACCAAAGTTATTAGGCCCAATAGCACCCCCTGGCAATACTACTGAAAGCCTTTATACCAGTGTTTCTCAACCTTGGCAACTTTAAGACGTGTGGACTTCAATACCCAGAATTCCCCAGCCAGCATGAACTAGTAAATGCCCCAGCTGAAAAGGCCAAGCTTGATAAATGGATAAGGCTACACAGAGATGAACAAGTTAGACAGAGGATCAAGCCAGAGGATACTATTCTTGTCTCCTTCTGTACAATGTCTAGGTGTTGAGACTAGCTCCATGGCTCGCTTGAGCAGTATCAGCCGGTTAAGCTATGAACAGATGATTCCTGCCTTCAGCAGCAGCATCAGTACCAACCAGGTTCTCCCCAGCACCAGCCTGCAATATATGGCTGACTTCACTGTCCGAGCCCTCACTGACCTCCTGTACGTCAAGGTGAGCCAGTGGGGGACTTCTCTGAGACTCAAAAATCTATTCTAAGATGTAGATAATCCAGTTATTGTAGATCAGGGTCAGAGACCCTGCATGATCTTGCAGATGTTGCTCAATTACAACTCTCAGAAACATCTGGAGAACCACTGGTTCCTTACTTCTGCTTGCACAAAGTTGCCTTCAATTGAATTCTAAGGAACGTAATTAACATTTAACGTGTTAGCAGTTTCCTCTCTTCCTTAGGGATAAACAGAATATTATGATGGCAGATTTGTATGAAGACTCAGTCTTCAGTCCTAACACATTCCTACAGGGCAACTTTTCCCAGCCTGATGCCCTCCATTTGTGTACAATTTTCATAACTCTAGAGATGGTGACTAGGCTTGGTTATTACATAAGCAAAACCATTGGTTTGTTAGATTTCGCTTAGCAAATTGCGGTTTGTAAAGTATGGCTAAAGGCTTAGAGCAGCATGTGACTTAATCATCAAGCCATGGTTGGGACAATGTGTGCACTTTGCTGAAGTGTTATAATGGTAGAAGGAAGCCTTCATATGGTTTAGCTTCATAAGGGAGAAGTTATACCTATTATTTTTTAAACATAGAGCTCTACAAATTTAAAAATCCTGAAATGATAGCTAGGTTGATACCTACGCTGATAGATAGGTAGATAGATAAATCACCTAGTGCTAGAAGAGAGGTATGGTGCCATTAAGGATGGATTCTTGGAAATAGAATGGACAGGTAGATTCCTAAACAAAGCAAGAGATGGTGGAGGTACAGGTAATCCTTGAGTTATAACCATTAGTTCAGTGCCTGTTCAAAGTTATGACGGCACTAAATGAATGGTACTTATGACAGGTCCTATAGTTCTGGCCATTGCAGTGTCCCCACAGTCATGTTATCGCAATCTGGGTGCTTGGTGCCCAGCTCGTAATTATGATGCCACAGCGAGCCAGTCACATGATCATGATTTCCAAAGTTCCCTGCCAGCTTCCCACAAGCAAAGTCAATGGGGAAGCCAGCAGGAAGTCAGAAGTTGTGATCATGTGAGGCCCTTGGTTAACGACCTCTGGTCCTCGCTTGATGTGGCAACTGGGACTGGAATTGCCATTGCTAAGCAACACAGTCACGTGACATTGCGCTTTACGACTGCATTGCTTAATGATGGAAATTCTGGTCCCAATTGCAGTCATAACCCGAGGACTACCTGTATAATCCAACACATCTGGAGCAGGTTGGAGAAGTTGAGCTAATCTTTTAAGCATCTATTGTCCAGCTATTATTTGCAGAAGAATGTTGAGGGTTGGGAAAGGGGAGAGAGAGACACATTTATTGAAATGGCTACATCTGGTACAATCTATTTGCCCAGTTTGGCAAGGCAGCTCTGCTGCCAGGTCCATCTTTCCAGCCCTTATGTGACTCAATGATTACACTCCTATCATATGAAGCCATAATGTTGTTTGTTTAGTTTGGGCTTAATCTGATGTGTGACTCCAGTTAAATGTTTATTCCACAAACCATAGGTAACAAATTATGGTTTAGCATGCTATGCCAACCCAATCACTCTCCTTGGCTTTTGCCCACCACTTGCACCTTTCTCAACCGGGTCGCCACCCTGTGATTCTCTGTTGTTTCTGGCCTGAGTTTAATGAGTGGCCTGCTGGTTCCTCCACCAAGTGGCTGGAAGGAACTTCTGGAGCACCATCCCCCAAATTACTCCATGTCCTTGATTGCCCAGGAGTAAGTTTCTGAATATCTGCTTTCTCTTCCTAACCCAGATCACACGGATGCAATACCAGAATTGTGTAATGGCCTCCTTAATAGACAGCAATGTCTCAGGTGAAGTTATTGCTAAGGCACCTGAACCCTTGAACCCTCCCCAGAACAACTGTAAATCCATTTTGAAGATAGCCAAAGAAGAACCACCTGGGTCAGAATGAGGGTGGTGGCACATCATTCAAACAGATCATAAGGACCTGATTCTTAAATGCCTCCTGCTTGAACCACCAGCAACTGCCTTCCAGTTGCCATCTGAGATCCTTTGTTTCACAAGATACTCACTGATAATCCCCAAGAGGACAGATTCCACATCTGGAAGCTAGGAAGCTTGTCTGCCTATCTTTTTTTCCACCACTTGCACTCCACATCTTTCTTTCTTCCTTTCTTGGTTGGTTTAGGGACTGCCACTAATACAAGGTGTTTTTTCTCAGGTGCCTATCAATGGGGGAGGAGAAAGATTTTCATTGAGACTGTGGCTGAGAAGGGAAGGGTTAGAACCCTCTACCTATGTGCTCTGTTTGCAATGAAATTTGCCTGCTCCCACTTCTTACTAAATTAACAAAGCAAAGCATTCTGATTAATAAAACAAACACGAGCATGCTTTCTAATTATACATTTAGCATTTGAGCCTCAGGAATTTTTGCATAAACTCTGTTGAAATGAGTGGGAACTTGGCAGTCATTCATTCACTGCAGAAGATTCTAGAATATATTCATAGGCTAAATTCTGTCTAAAAGGGGTGTCATAATTTAGAAGATTTCAGAATATAATTCTGCAGTAGAAAACATGCTTATTTCTGTGAGACAGAGAATGCTTAGTGGATTATACCTGGAGAAGTGGATGAAATCTCCTGTTTCAAAAAGCTACTGATTTAACAAGTGGATCATAATTCTTTTCATCAGGTTTTCTGTGTGTACTTTTTCTTTTTCTTGTCATAGATACCTCAGTATTTATTTGGGTTTGCCACAGGCCACTTTGATAGAAATGCTTGATTTTTTTTTCTTTTTAAATGGGGAATTTCCTTATGTATGAAATTATGCTACTTGTTCAGTGTAAAATGGGGTTTCTACTTCTGAATTGGGTAATAAAATGCACATTTATTTCATCCCTTTTTGTCCTTTCAATGTGTTCTGTGAGGATTTGGTGCCAAAAAAAGACACGCGGGGGTGACTGCAGAGTGTGGTCAAAAAAGTCAAGATGATGTCACATGTAAAAACAGGCAGAGCTTGGATTGTTCCATCGTTAGCGCTATCTTCACGTTTTTTACCATACCCTGTGGAGACCCCTGAGGACATCTGTGCTCTATTAATATTAAAGTTCATGCTCATGTCACAGTGCCCCACTCAATTATCTATCTTCTTCAGCCAGTGCATAACATTACTCTAAAGTAGAAGGCAAGGCCCAGAGGGACCGCAGCTCTCACAAACTAGGAAAAGCAGATAAATTAACTCCAGAGGGAGACAACCTTTAAACTCAGGTACCACTGCAAACTTGTTTTTACCCAACTACTCTTGAATAGATTGCTGAATTTAGTTTTCTCCCAGGAAAATAATTGTAGAAAGCCTAAAATAGCGTTTTAAAAAGTTAAACCACAAAGTTCATTTTCCAAACCCAGGAAAACAGAGATTCCAGACCAAACCGTGCCCTCTCCTTTGACCATGATGCCAACCATTACAATTCTTGTTCCCCTCGATGGAAAAATTCCTCCTCCTTGATCTACAAGGACATTTTAAAAAGCTGGCAAAAGAGCCCCCACTGGAGTCTGGCCCTTGGCAGGGGCTCCGCAGTGTTAATTCTGGATCTCAAGTCTGTTAAAGGCTTGTGTAAGGTAGTCTCCTGGACCTTCATTTCCAGAGGACAGGCCTCTGTTTAACTGAATATCGGCAAGCAGTCCTCTGCCATTTGAAGGGCTGCCTAGACTAAATTTGGTTGAAAGGGAAAGAATTCCGAAGCACAGATCTAGAACTTGCTGGAGACTTCTGGTGAACGCCATGATAAACTGGCATCCCTATAATAGAAGGACAGCATTGCAGCGGAAAATGGCACCAGAATGCTGGATCTGGACTGCCAAAATCTGTCTGAAGAGACATCTCAAGATTACCCACAAGTACTCCGATCAACTGTTTTTTGTGAGCAGATGGCAGGAACTGCATTTTTTTTGGTCCACTTGTGATCAGCTGGGAGTTGCAAAATTCCTCCGAGCTTATAGTAGCTAATATAGCCTATACGGACTCTAGGTTTGACCAAGGCTCACCTATTAATTTTTTTTTTTTTTTTTTTGCTGCTGCTGCTGCTTAAATATTGAGAACCTTCAGATTGGCAAGTCTTACTGAAATTACTGGGTGAGTTTTCTTCAATCCTTTAAAAAAGAAATTCTAACCACGAGTTTAAAGATTTGTAAAAAAGAATTTTTGTGTGTGGAATATATAGCAAAAGGATGTTTAATGTTGGTTTTAGAAAGTTTTAAATGGATTAAGGGCTCAGATGGATTTAATTTAAGACTCTGAAGTTAATTGAAAAAATCCTTCCCGTGAGAAAATGTCTGTGTTTATATTCAGAAACAACTGATAAGAGGAATTTGAAGGTTGGACACTAGAGGGCACTAGTAGGAAATAAATGCATCAAGGGCTATTTTATTTTATTTTATTTTATTTTATTTTATTTTATTTTATTTTATTTATATTTCAAATTTGTCACCACCCATCTCACTGCAGAGCGACTCTGGGTGGTATAAGGGAATTCTATGATGAATGTGCTCAGGAAGTAATTATAAAGTTATCTGCTATTGCAGAAAATTTTGAAGGTGATACTGAAGAGGAACAAGCCCCACTGAATAAAACTGAAATTGATTTGAATGAATTTACAAAGATAGCCTATAAGAAAGAGATGGAAATAATGGATTTATAAATGAAACTGGATGATGATTTAATAATTAAAAAAGATATTCAGGTAGTTCTCAGTTTAAGAACGAGTTCCATTCCCAAGGTCTGTCCTTAAGTCAAATTTGTATGTAAGCAGGAATATTATATTATATTGTATAAATAGTATTGTGTAATTAACTTGAACCATTGTGTATTTAACTTGAATTTTGCTACAGTAGGCTCTGTTCTTAAGTATGATCATCCATAAACTGGGCATTTTTAACCTGTACAAATACTAAACCAGAAGAGTGATGTGGATAACCTCTCTACACTGGATTTACAAAAGGGATTTGTTGAAGCTGTCAAAGATTTTGTGAGAAGAGACAGTGAGAATATGAACCAGTGATGTGGATAACTTCTTTATATTAGAATTACAAATGGGGCTTGACAAAGATGCCAAGGATTCTGAGAGAAGAGAAGAGATAAAGAGAGTATGAGAAAGCAACTGTTAGAACTTCATCTGAGGGAACTAAAGATTGTTGAGAGAAAGAAGAAAAAAAATACAAAATTGGTTTATTTGATCAAGGTTAAAATAAAAGGGTTGCTATTTTTGGTAATGTTTAATGGTTTTAGTTGATTAGGAGTGGATGACGATGCATTAAAAACTTCGTTTATTTGGAAAGGAAATAGGGGGAATATGTTTAAATAGAAAGGGAGATCTAAATATAAAAGGAAGGATTCAATTTGAGTTTACTGTAGTAAATATAGTTTGTAATAATTATGTTACTATTTCTGATAACCCTTAATGGACTTTTGCTGATGAAGATGGACAGATGAGGTTTTAGAGATTGGTTTATAGAGAATGGGGTGAGGCATAGGATGAAGAGATGGCGATAGGTTGTTAATGTTGATTGTACTTGCTGGGAGATTCTTTTCTTTTCTCTTTTCTTCTTTGTTCTTTTTCTGCACTTTTTATCGTTTTTCTTCTTTTTCTTCTTTTTTCATATATTTTTATACTAAGTAGACTGTATTCATTTTATCTGTATAATATCATCTTTAATAAAATTATTCTAAAATAAAAATAAAAGACCTGGAATTTGCCCAGTAGCAGATTGAGCAGATATATGGGTCACCATCAGCAGTCTTCTCCATCATGTTAATGCCCTGGTGGCATTCACACTATATATTGCACAATACATTAAACCAGTGTTTCTTAACCTTGGCAATTTTAAGATGTCTGGACTTCAACTCCCAGAATTCCCCAGCCAGCATGCTGGGAGTTGAAGTCCACACATCATCAAGTTGCCAAGGCTGAGAAACACTGCATTAAACCATAAAGTACTTCAGGATGGCAAACATTTAATCCATAACTCCCTCCCCTCCAATAACTAAGATTAAAATCTACGACTTAATCTAGCATATCCCAGGGTGCCTTAATGGCATAGACTGGATGTTATAATGGGCTCGGTGAAAGCTTTTAGTTAAGTTTTATGTTATTTCTGTGATCCGCTGTTTTAATGCTACAGTTGATGGATTTTGATAGTTGGAGCTTGGCCAAGATTGTTGACTGAGGCACCATGTAAATACTGTAAATTAAAATTAAATAAATACTTTGTGAATTAAGATAGGTAACTAAGTGAGGTAAGCATGATGTCTGCTTTCTATTGAACATATAATTATTTCCAGGTTTACATTTTTGTGGGCTGGCTGTATTTTATTCCATTTAATTTATTTTGTTTTCTTTTAACTTATTTTTTTCCCCTGTTTTATGTTACATAATGCTAGTCAACGACCAAAATAAAATGACTTGGTTACTTAGCCTATTCCAGTGTTTCTTAAAGTGTGGTCCTAGGAAATTAAAATCAAAATTATTTACCAGTTTATGTTGAAAAATAATGCAATATTAAAATCCCATCAAACAATCATGAGCAGTAGTAGCGGCAGTGAATGCATGCTTTAATTTTTAATATGGTAAATATCAATAAATATAACCCATACAAGCAAAAGCTCTTTTGGGGTCCTTCATAATTTTTAAAAGTGGAAAGGGGTCCCAAGAGAAAAAAATTTAAGAAACATTGCCCTATTCCATTGCCTGGGGAAAATGCCTTGATAAATCAGGGAAACAAGATAAAGGGGAATACTGTATACTGCATGTTGCCTCAATCAATACATCAGGATTTACTAACAGCAAACAATTTGGGTAACTCACCAAGACGCAGGAAGCTTCAGAAACAGAGACGCTATTTGATTTTCCCCCAAAGCAATATATATTCCACAAAGCTAAACATGTTTATGCAAAAATGAATTCCACTGAGGTTCTGTTTTGAATTGCACTATAATGGCCTCATCCGGTCTGCATGTTATTCATTGGTTGCAGCTTTGAGATAAAGTAAGTGAGCATGGGAGTTTCAGCATAGGGTGACTTCCATCCTCTTGCTATGATGTTGGGACAAAGTGGGTGTGCTCCCTGTCCCTTCCATTAAATGCTGCCATCTTGTGGGACCGAGGAAGCCTGCCTTCCCTGTCATGGCCCCCTCCCTCTGGAACAGCATCCCCCCCAAGAGAACCCATTTTCCTGGGGTTCTGTGAAGGAATGGTTGGATGAAGGCCGCACTCGGGGAGATAAGCATTCCCTTAGCCCCCAACAGGAGCGTGGGAAG